GCACATAGATCTATTTCCCCATCCTCATATATAAATATATTTACATTTGTACATGCCTTTATCTAGACCTCTATAAATGACCTTGGCCATCTTTAAAGAAAGTAGATGAACTGTCTTATAGCAACATGACAGTAAGGTTGTTGAAATACTTGATCCAAAGGAGCCCACAGTGATCAAACACTCAAGAATGCATGCAATCTTCTGAGAAAACCACTGGGTTTTACTGGCTGTGCCTGAATTGCCTTTAGCACTGGTTTCTAACATCTCCGTGGCCATATCTAAGCCTTGAACTTTGAGGTATTGATTTCAGAGTCCATCAGTGTTTCTCACATCCCTGTAGCCCCCAGTTATGATGATCAAATTGCTTCCTTTTGGTTAGATGCGAACTCTAGGTTTGTGGAGAACACAAGCACCATTTTCAAAATGTATGTGCGGATGGGGAGTCATCCTAACCTAGACCTCCTCATTCGAGTTGGGGCATGTACATTTTGGTGCTACATCAGTACAGTCTATTAACAGGAGTGAAGTGCGTGGTGTGTACGAGAGAGAGACAATAATATATGTGTGAGTTTCAGGTCTGGGAAAAGTAGACTATTCTTACTGGCCAAAATGCCTTCCCATAGGCAACTCTTTCCATCACTCTGGTGAAGCTAGCCCTCATTTTATATTTATAGTGAAGGTATATTATTGCTTAGGAAAGAGAATCTTGGAGTGAGCATTACAAAACTTGGCTCAAGGGCAGAGGGAGGGTGGGTTTGAAAGGGTGAACCGATTATAGGGATCTACATGTGACCTCCTCCCTGGAAGACAGACAACAGAAAAGTGGGTGAAGGGAGATGTCGGACAGTAAGATATGACAAAATAATAATCCATAAATTATCTAGGGTTCATGAGGGAGTGGGGAGCAAGAAGGGAGGGGAGAAATGAGGAGCTAATGCCAGGGGCTTTAGTAGAGAGCAAATGTTTTGAGAATGATGAGGGAAATGAATGTACAAATGTGCTTTACACAATTCATGTATGTATGGATTGTGATAAGAGTTGTATGAGCCCCTAATGAAACGATTAAAAAAAAAACTTGGTTCAAATTCAAACACTGTCATTACTACGCTTGGGAAAGCCACTTGATAATGGATTGGTTGTCTCATGTATAGAATAAAGACTGCATCAAATAGACTTCCTTTCCTGCCAACATCATAAGTCAGATATGTGTATTTCCAGAGTAGATCCTAGTTTTACATTCAACAATGAAACATCATAAATCAGATATGTGTATCTCCAGAGCAGATCCTAGTTTTACATTCAACAATGAAATATCATAAATCAGATATGTGTATTTCCAGAGCAGATCCTAGTTTTACATTCAACAATGAATACACACTCTGATTCAACTCATCTACTGCAATCCCCTTAATGCACCGTCCTTTATCCTATTTCCTTCCTGTGGTCATTTTTCCTTTCTTTCCTAACCCTCTGCATTTTGTCCTCAGGTAAATGCTACCTTTTTTATCACAATTGTTTGATCAGTCTAATGAGAGTGGCGAGTTCCGTTCCAGACACGAAGGGCAAGGACCATCGTCCTGGGGCTCCCAGCAGTCTTTATCATTGACAGTCACAACATGCACCCAGTGCCAGGCCTCGGGGCGGGTGTAGGGAAATACAGACATGTTTAATGGGCAAAAGACATGTAAACAAGCAGAGCCACAGGCTAATGAGCAGAGATAGAGAACAAACGGGGAGAGTGACAATTTTAAGACCTGAAGGTGACTGGAAATGGGATGTGGTAAGCAGGGAGTTTGCGAAAATCAATTGAGTAAATGTCAAGGCTACCTGGCGCTTTTAAATGATTACTTCTTGTTCAAATTTCTGATTTACAGAAGTGCATCCTGCCAAGTGCACCGGAACTAAGGCCAAGAGAGTGATGATGTCTACACATAATTAATCCCATCAAACTGTACATAAGAGAAATGTGGAAAGGGAAAATGTTTTGTGATACATTATTTTACCACAATTACAAATTAAAAGGCTAGGTTTCACTTCAGTCTAGAATAGTCTTAAGCTTTCTCTTTTTCTACATTTGTACGCATGTTACAAAGAGCCAGTTCCATTGTGCCAGGAGCGCTCCAGCAAGGTACCCATTACTGAGCGAGTGGTCAGCCCTGGCTGCCCCGGAAAGAGAAATTGCTCGAGAGGCTGTTCCCTAACCCGGGCTTTTCCCCTCGAGGTCACCGGCCTTTGTTGTTGAAGCCAGCCTGGGTGCAAAATACCAGGGACAGAAAAGAAGTTTGTATTTTTTATCATGTCCAATAGAATAAATTTGCGTAAGAAAGGATGCTTAGGGAAAAAAGGACCTTAAAACATGTCTGTTTAGCAGTTAGTTTCCCCCAATTCCCCCAACATTCATACACTTTTTTTCTCTTCAAAATGCATCAGGCTCATTTTCTGTTCGGTTGGCAGGTCTGTAAGTCACTTAGCAGCGCAGGAATGAGCAGCGGTCACTGTAAGCCAGCAGGACGGGCGCGTTCTGTTATATAGGGCACTCTGGTAAATGACGATGGTTAGCAGTCAGGGAGATGAGACCAGAAAGGCCTTCTGACATGATATATACCACAGTCACTACAAGCCAACTGCACCGTGCTGGGCACCACAGGTCATGCTAGTTTCCACCTTAACATCCAGGCAAGAAGCCCCCGTAATTGGGTATGCAAAATGCCGAGACCACAGGTAACCCTTGAACTCACCGCCTATAAAAGAGGAAGTGCATTCTCTGGCATACTTTCACTCTATTAAACATTACGTTATGGCTCCCGTGATACAGAAGCAAATTTCGTTCCAGCAAAAACATTATTTCTGACACTATTAGCCGGGCGCAACAAGACGAAAAATGAAGATCTAAACCGTGTAACATGCACACAAGGACTGAGGGTAACACTAGAATTTCAGTCCTTTGAGGACCACGACAGGTTCCGGGATGGGCAGATGGTCTAGAATCTTTTCCTAGAGGCTAGTAACACTAAACACAAGTAAGTTTTCACCTGTCCCACAGCCGGGGGCCACAAGTGACACAGTTCTGGGCAATGACACCTGAGTAGAAGTTTTCTGGGGAGGTTACTGGGAAAGCTTTTGCTGATCAAAAGCACAAACATTACTAGTGCTTTTCCCCCACCCTTCCCCCTCCCTCCTCCCTTTTCTTGTTCTGAATGTGGATTATGATTTCTGGACAAGCTATAGTTATCTTACCACCATGAAGTGACAAGGAAGAAGGTAGAAGGGCCAGCAGTCTAGAGAGGACAGAGAAGAAAAGAGGAAAAAACCTGGACACTTGATGACATAACTGAGCAGCTAGGCCAGCTCCAGACTGTCTATCTCTGGATTTTTTGGAAGGAGGAAAAACGGACTCATTTCTATAAGCTGCTGTAGCAAGGTGTTTACCATTTTTATATTACTTGTAACGACACATTCCACAGCAATCAGGTACCTTCCGAATATATTTTTCATGAAGCAATTTGAGAATGCTCTTTCTAGAACTATTGCTATGCTAGTAGAATGTAGCCCTGGGTGACAGGCCCCATCTTTGACTGCACATGGAGACAGCCTGCAGGAAAGTGAAGCCCACACCAGCCAGGCGGGCAGAGGAGAGGAGAGCCAGACACAAGCATCAGTTGAGCACCTGGGTCCACCAAGGCCTGAAGTTAGTTGTAGCTCCAGGCTTTTCTGTTACATGAGCCAGAATGCTCGCTTTTTGGCTTACTCTAGTTTGACCTGAGTCTCACAGGAGAGAGTCCTAATATACCACCTGGAGCTATGTGAACTAAGCAACGGACACAAGTAAATTAGAATTTAAAACTCCAAGAACAGAGCAAATGAGCATCTCCTCCTGTATATGCACACGTATAATTTTTGAAGCCCCACTAAATCATGCTGTCTGCTTGAACAAACATATGTGAATCAACGCAGGGGAAATGTCCCTGGAAAAAGATGTTCAGATTAATTCAGGAGAGAAGGGGTACAGCAGTTGAGAGACTTTCTGGAAAGCTTTTTTTTTAGAAGTATTCACACGTTACATGAGAATATAAAAGTCAAATTAAAAAAAATAACAACAATGAAACTTGTGAAGGCAGAGTAAAATACTGATATGAGCATAGGTTTTTAAGAGTTGACACTGGGTTAGGAGCTTAAGGATTCTTATTTAACCTCTTTAATCTCCAATCTATAACAGGGAACAACAGTGGGGCATCAGGCTGTTGGTGTGAGGATTCAATGAGTGAATGCACACAATCAGTGCTTAAGATAATATCTCATACATTGCAAACTCCTAATTATTGTTATTAAGAGAGTGGTAATTTCCACCTAACTGAGTAACCAAGTCAATGGACCTATGTCAAAGAAGCTTAGTTTTCTCTTTCTAGACCAACCAAATAACTTATGTTGACTATTTAGAAGTATTTCTCAGGAGCTCAAATACAGTTAATCTAAAAGCTTACACTAAGTAATTTAGGATAAATATAGTAAGATAACTTCTTGTCCTTGTGAAGACCTCCAATTAGCTGAAGTAGTTTCCTGAGGATTCTGAGAGCCTTTTTTAAAGTCAGAGCTTCTTTCTGTGTGCAGGGATTGGTATTTTGGGTAAATACATGTACTGTGTTATATACATCTCATTCTGTCGCATGCATAAACTTAACAGGAATTCCATACAACGCTTTTCCGTAGTTTTTGGTAAAGAACATTTATCATGTGAAGGATATTTTCAAATGAGACTTTTCTCATTAAAAATGTCACAATTTGTTGTTGGGCCATCCTTGCATTCTTGGGGTAAAGCCCACATTCATAAGTACTGATTAAAAAAGTCATAAGCCAACAGAAAAGTGGGTGAAGGGAGACGTCGGACAGGGCAAGATATGACAAAATAATAATTTATAAATTATCAAGGGCTCATGAGGGAGTGGGGAGGGAGGGGAAAAAATGAGGACCTGATGCCAGGGGCTTAAGTGGAGAGCAAATGTTTTGAGAATGATGAGGGCAATGAATGTACAACAATCGATATATGTATGGATTGTGATAAGAGTTGTATGAGCCCCTAATAAAACAATAAAAATAAATAAAAATTAAAAAGTCACAAGCTGGAGCTACTATTTTAGATTGGCAAATTCAGCCTATTACAAAGGGAGGATTTATCAGAAAAATTGAATTAATGATATTCTTGAACTGAGAACAGGTAGCATATGATAATATAGGTAAGATAAAAATCAACTAACCAATCAATAAGTGATCACTAGCATTCATTATAATAATGTTTAACATTTATTAAGTGCTTAGTATGTATCAGGCACACAACATCGTTTTAACATACAGTATCTCTTCATCATCGTCACAATCTAATGAAGTAGGTACCAAGCTTATGCCATGACAGATGAATGACTCGGACACACAAAGAGGTCAAGTACTCTGCCTAAAGTCACATGTTGAGTTGCCGTAAGGGACAGAATTTACACTCACGCAGCTTACCTCTCAACATCATCCACAATGCGGTGCAATACAGACAGCCTGAGACCGATCCCAGGGAAACACAGATTGAGTGCAATGTCCTGTGCAGAGTACTATACCTTTCACCAAATGGCATGATGCACAGAACTACATCAGAGATGTGAATAGTATATAGTAAGCTTTTAAAGTTTTATGTATATATTTGAATACCAAATAAACTAGTGTGGAGGTGTGTGTTTTTCAATCTCAGCTCTAACAGTTAAAACATGAATGGCAATATTCTCAAGGAACTGCTAACAGGCTAACAAGAGGCATCCTGGGCCGTAGGAGGGAAAAATGCTGAATCTGAGTAGTAGCTGAAGTCATAAGCGTTAAGGTCCTGTTGATGACTGTTGAGAACACTAATGGTAAAAAGACCAAGTAATAAATGTAGGCAAAAGTCTGAAGTTTTAGGGGGAATATAAGAACCAACCAATACACCAGGTTCGGCTATATTCATGGATATACAGTAGGCATAACTTACTTTACACAAATAGACTTAATGTTCAAAGATAACAAAAACTTCAGAAGACTACCTCCAACACTGGATAAAATAGACTAAAAATAAGGTGGCGTTTAAAGTCTGTGCTAATGGTTTTGAAGAATCCTGGTGGCACTATGGGATAGGTGCTGAGCAACTAAGTTGGCAGTTCAAGCCCACTACAGGGTATTGATAAATCAAGATCATGGAGGCATAGTTGTTAAAGCTGTTAATCAAAAGGGTCGCTATTTGAACTCATAAGCTGCCTTATGAGAGGAAGATTTGGCAGTCTGCTTCCATAAAGATACACATCTCAGAAAACCTTTGGGGGCAGTTTGTTCCATCCTACAGGGTCTCTATGAGTTGAAATTGACTTGATGTCAGTGTTTAAAAGTATTTTTTTTCTTATTCATAATTAGTTTAATGTTCTGATGCTGGCTGACCATTAGAACATAGACAGCCTGTTAGTTCTTTCTACCATATAGTCCCTTTCTCCAAGTTATGACTTACTGTACTCTTCTCCGGGTGCTCGGGTCTCCAATTATTTCTAGTTCTGAACTAAATGCACAAGAAGGCTGTAACTGTCAGGGATCTAGTTGAAATACGCACACCTGTATACCAGCTCTGGGGATTTTAGAAGATAACACATTTTACATCACGGCCCTTTATGTCTGCAGAAATGGAAATTCGGCAGTCACGCTAGAGCTACAGAGAAGGAACTGCAAGAGGGCAAGGCTTTGTCCAAATGGAAGCAAGGAGAGTCACACATAGCGTGTCTTTTGGTACCATCAATTAGATCAGCAGTTCTCAACCTGTGGGTCGTGACCCTTTTGGGGGTTGAATGACCCTTTCACAGAGGTCATCTGATTCATAACAGTAGCAAAATGACAGTGTTGAAGTAGCAACAAAAATAATGTTACGGTTGGGGGTCAGCACCACATGCGGAACTGTCTGAAAGGGCTGCGGCATTAGGAAGGTTGAGAACCACTGAATTAGATCATCTGAGTGCTCAATCATGGTAAAACCCAAGAAAAGCAGTTGTCCCGCCTTCCTGCTCAGGTCTTCTGTCCCACATGCTCCAGGAAAAGAATGTCCTTTCCTCACCTGACGCCATCAAACTGTTTTGTCAGTAAGAGAACAAGCAAAGAGAACAAGTTTGTAAAAAAGCCAACAGGGTGGAGATCTCAACCATCCTCTCTTTCTCGGCAGCGAGGTGGCTGGCTGCACGTAATACTGATCAGTGCAAATCTGGCAACCTCTCACCACACCTCCTTCTCTAACAAGATGCACATCTGATTCTGAGCTGGTAGCAAGAGGATAATAGTAACAGCTTGACATGGCTTGCTGGAATATGAGACCCTCAGGTACGTGGGCTCAGTAGGTAGAAGACAAATTCTTGATATACATGCGTGACATAATGGCACTGAGGTTACTAAGCCCCACCCCACTCACTTTCCCTATGTAAATCGATAAAACAAAAGATACAAGGCCAGGAGTCGCCCATTAGCAAAGGCACCACAAAAGTACAAGCTTTCTTCTATGGCACTGCACGGACCATAGTTTCTTATGCATTTATGATCAAGACACCAAAAATAAGGAAAACCCTCAACAACTGACAAGTGACATGTTCTTAAGAAATTCGAAGAACATTCTTCTAGTTGAAGGGAGTTTCTGCCCAGATGGTTACCCGATCCGGACACCACCCACTTATGTTTATGAGGTACACCAGCAAACAAACCCCACTCTGCTTACCTGTTTATGAGGACCCCTGAGTATGTGTGCCTTAGCGCCTTCACAAGCCGTCCTCATTGCTTCCAGTGATGGTGTGCCCAAGAGATCTGTGATCAAATCCAACTACAAGAAAACACAGAATAGAGATGGACGTATAATAATCCCTCACTAAAACCACCTATCATTATTCTTGGATCACAGCTGTAAAGATGGAGACCAAATCAGGTGGGAAAAAATGTAGCTCAATTTCCAGATTCATTGATCGGAGTCCTTTTGGAAGCCACCTTCTAGAGTATTTACACAAAGAAAAAAACATCTGATAAGGGATTCAGGGTCCATCTGTGGGAAATTGGACATCCCCTTGCAGAAGGGCTGCGGGGAGGCGACGAGCAAGTCAGGAAGCAGAAGCAGTAAAGCAACAATGAAATACCCAATTTTCCTCTAGTTCTTGAATGCTTCCTCCCCACCTACTATCATGATCCCAATTCTACCTTACATATCCGGCTGGACCGGAGGATGTACACTGGCACAGATAGGAACTAGAAACACAGGGAATCCAGGACAGATGAACCCCTCAGGACCAGTGGTGAGAGTGGCGATATCGGGAGAGTGGAGGGAAGGTGAGGGAGAAAGGGGGAACAGATTACAAGGTCTACATATTACCTCCTCCCTGGGGGACGGACTGCGGAGAAGTGTGTGAGGGGAGACGTCGGATGGTATAAGATATGACAAAATAATAATAATTTATAAATGATCAAGGATTCAGGGGGGAGCAGGGAGGGAGGGGAAAAATGAGGAGCTGATACCAAAGGCTCAAGTAGAAAGCAGGTGTTTTGAAAATGACGATGACAACATATGTACAAATGTGCTTGACACAATTGATGTATATAGGGATTGTGATAAGAGTTGTATGAGCCCCTAATAAAATGATTAAAAAATATATATAGAAAACTCCAATAGAATGTAAATGTTTAGAAAATAATGATGGCGACACATATGCAAATATGCTTGATACAATTGATGTATGGTTATAAGAGGTGTAAGAGTTCCCAAAATGATCTTTAAATATATATGGTATCTAGAGTAATTTAGACGTCTGAGTCTGCCAACCCTGTGTTTTGGTAACGCAGCCTCATAACATAATCCTTGTTCATGGCTATTACCTATTCTTTTTAAATAGTTATGGAATGGATTCTGATATTTCAAATGGATTTCAGCTCATTATGCAGTTAATCCACAAATCAAGACAGTTGTGATTTAATAAATACTCAATGTTCACACCTGAAATCTCCGCATTTGGCCAGTGCACACCGTTTATGTTCTAGTCAAGCCTAGAAATCTCTGACGCTGGCAGAAAAAAACTGCAGTACCTAGAAAATTAAGAAGCTGCCTACGGCCACACGTTGGCTAGTATGGCCCAATAAAAGCAACGGTCTCGCTAACAAGTCTCTGTAGGTAGCAAACTACCTAAACAATTTTCCCTAGTGCTACCACTGTTTTAACTTCATAGCACAATCAGTAATAACATTTCATTCCGATAGCTGGAGAATACCCTTTCCCCTGGTTCTGCACCTGTCTAAACCATGGGGTAGCCATCAACATCACTGCTGTCTGGGGGAATGGGGAAACTTGAGATGCTTGCTTTCAGCAGAAGCAAAGATCGCCATCCAAAGGATAAAGGGTGTGGGTGACACTTTGGGACCTCTGAGAACCACACTAAAGGCAGAAAGAATGTGTTGGACTGTGGAAACATGCAGCTTCCTGAGATGGGTCAAATTCATGGATGAGAAGCATTTAACAAGGTTTCCTAGTACTACGGTAGCTGAGGTATTGATTTCACAGAGATACAGAGGAAATGCTACAGAAATCATTACCCCACTGAGAGGAGTTGGAGTCTTTCTACTCTCTGCCTCAATTTCTCACCCCAAGTACACTAACAGATATTGAGGGGCTCTCCTTCACTGGCCATGGTAGCCTGGCAAACTCAAGATGGATGTATTTCCAGAGAAAATTCGATATCCAAATCCTTTAGCTGTTCTACACTTTTTTCAGCCTTTCAGCATAAATCTGAGATATCTGTCGAATACAGAGGACTAAAACACTTCCCTAATTTGTACTTCAGCTTTTCTGTGTATAAATAAGAAGAGACCCTAAGGGCACCACTCTGAGTTGATTCTGACGCACAGTGATCCCAAAGGACAAAGTGAAGCGGCCTCCAGGGGTCTGCAACGCTGTCAGCTTCAAGGGACCGTACCGCAGCATCTTTCTCCTGGGGAGCAGCTGCGGGGTTTGAACCACTGCCTTTTTGTTTAGCAGTTGAGTGCTTAACCAATGGGCCACCAGAACTCGCTATGTGAAGTTCTACCGTCATTCACTTTGTAGAATGACCAAACATGGCAGTCTCACAGATAACTGGAGGGAGTTGAACTCTATTTTCTTTCTTTTTAAAAAATTATTTTCTGGCAAATTAGTATCCACACGTTTTTTTCTTCATGATTGTGAAGTGATGTCATCAATGTCACATAAAATATTTTCCTCACTTGCTTCTATTCACATCTTCGTGACCCATTCATTTTTTTCCTTCCCAAATGTTGTACATCACACTTGAAGCAATGAAGAATTCTCAAAGTCCATTGAACCTTCATCCAGATAGACGTCTATGGTGCAATTCTTGGTTCCACCTGTAAGGGAAAACCATCCTTGTGGTTTTTCCATAGCTGTTCTTCTTGGTAAAATTTTGATGACCTTTATGTATCTTCAAAGCTCAGACTTCTTGTATCTTGAAGAGTCCAGCTGTGGCGCCCTGGGCTCCACTGATGAAACCCAGCCACGTGGCTGAAGCTGGATAGAGCATCTTCCCCGTTCCGCAGTCACGCTGAAAAGGCTGAACTTTATTTTTCACATTTAGAATACAGTGTAGCTTCTTACAACCACATATATTTACACGGAAATATATAATATACTAACTCTCTCAGAGTGTGAACAGTAAAAGTAGGTGTGTTAGTCTGGGTTGACTAGATAAACAAATTCATAGACACTCGTGTATAAGAAAGAGTTTTCTATCAAAGAGTCATTGTATATGAGAAAACATCCCAGCCCAGACCAGATCAAGTCCATACGTCCAATCTTAGCCCATATGTCTGATACCAGTCTGTAAAGTCCTCTTCAGACTCCTGCAACACATGCAATGACACAGAATGCAGGAAGATCACAGGCCAGTGGGTGGAAAATCTTGTGGATCCAATGGTGGTGGAAGCATCTCAGTGCTGGTGTGGGCCTCCACGTGGCTCCTCCAGCTCCAGGGCTCTGGCTTTATCAGCGTAGCTCCGTGTAGTTTGTCAACAGGAATACGAAGCAGAGAAAGTGTATCTGGTCTCCAGTGAGCTATTTATCTCCATAGTGCCTCCATATGGGGTCATCAAGCTGTGACCTGATCGACAGGCTAAGCTCCACGCCTTCACTCTTGATAGTCTCAAGTTGACATCAGATAATGTAACTATCACAGCATAGTTTTGGTTGTATGAAGGGCTTTATGATTACTGCAATTTGACTTCTCTAAGCATTCTCTGAATGACATTACTTTTTTAAAGAAATAATTCTGAAGTTTTCAAGAAACTGAATAAAGTGAATATTGTCAATAGCACCCACATTTTAGTGGTTAACTCTGCGCCCCTGATAATTTTCTTTCACCAGGGTACATTTTTAAGCATCAATGTGTGTGTGTGTGTGTGTGTGTGTGTGTGTGTGTGTGTGTGTGTGTGTGAAGTTTGAATGAATGAAAACAAACAAACAAGCAAACAGTTGCAGTCAGGTTGAATCCGACTCCTGGTGACCCCGTGTGTCAGAAAGCAACCGTGTTCCATAGGGTTGGCAGTGGCAGATTTTTCTGAATCAGATTGATAGGTCTTTCTTAAGAGGAGGTCCTGAATGGACTCAAACCTTCGACCTGTTGCTTAGCACCACTTAGTTGGCTCCAACTTTGAGCAGCCTAAGTTTAATCCACAAGTAAAGAAATAATTTTAAGTGTTCACCACTGCCTATATAGTTTCTAATACACTAGTCAACAATTTGTAGAGAGCATGAAAGAGATGATTCCATTTTTGGTCACCGGCATGCATTTGTAAAGATACACAGCAGTCACTGTGGCCTTTTAAAAAATTTATCAAAAGCCTTTACACAGCTTTCCCTTACACTTAGATAAACCCAAAGTCCTTATCAGGCCGAACAGGGTCAGGCCTCTGACTTTCCGACCTTGCCTCCTACTCATTCTTCCTAGGGCATGCTCGCCCAGCCACGGGGCCTTGCTAGTCTTCAAATATGCCACGGTCGTACCTGCCTCACAGGCTGGCTATCCTATGGCTGCAGTAGGAAACCAATATTTATAACACCTTTCTTAGGCTATATTGGTCAAACATTTAATTAACTCACCCCTAATGTGATGGCTGGAACGGCTTCTTTTTAGCAAGGCGTGTGTTGTTAGCTGCTATTGATGATTTTGTGAGCTTTATATGGCCTGTGGGCCAGACATTCCCATTCTCTGCTCTATGGGAATCTTGCTCCTCAACGTATTAGTTGCTCCCTAGTTTTATTTGGCTCATTCCTCAAAGAATTCTTTAACAGTGCTCTACCTACTATCATTTTCTATCCCCATTTCTTTCTAAAGTTTGTCTTTTGTAGAATTTACCATGAGTTCAGTTATGTTTATTTGTATAAATGCTTATTTTAGGTTTCATGTAAAAGTTTCACAAAGGCAGGGACTAACTTTGTTTTACTTACCACATACCACCATCCTCAGAACTGAGGGCATTTACTGAGTGGTAGGCTGCATGTTCACCTTCATTTAACCTGCAGAATAGCCAATAGGACAATCCGAGACCAAATGGAAATCAGGGAACTGAGAAGGTCAGTAATTCTGTGCCAGACGAACAGCTGGGTAACAGTTGGGTAAGTGGCAGAGCTAGAATTTTTTTTTTTTTAGAGCTAGGATTTGTGCTGTCATCAATGTGATGCCACAGTTTGAGCTCATCACCACTGCTCTTAGGTAAGCAATGCCATTAAATAAATAAGAACTATACCAAGAAAACATCCTTATGAATGAATTAACTAAGTACCAGGGACACTCTCCTAAAGCTACACTTTATTCAGCTTTTGACCGTCTCCATCATATTAAGATATTTGGATATCTTAATAAAAATGCTCACCATCTTTTCTAAATATCCACATTTTAAACCAGCACTCAAAATTTATATTCGAAGCACAAAGTAAATACATTAAGTCACCCAACACATTTTCAAGTCAGAGCCATTCAGCTACAGAACACGGGCCCTCCAACAGCGGATTATACCTGTGCAAATTGGTACAGCAGAGGCTGCGGCCATGCATCAGTGCATGTAGTAAAAGTCAGCATCCTAATATGCTTGTAAGTTACAAAATGAATCTCTGTAATCTTCAACTTCAAATTCATCCTGAATTTTAAGTGAACTTGAATTTGCTGAAAGCAAATTAGTACAATGAATAAGCTCAAGACACGTGTGCAGGATGGATTTTACCTTCAGATCCGTCACAGAACTGAAAGCCACAGAAGCCTACAATAGGAATCGTACCTGCTGAATGGGGCTCTGCGCCTGAAACAGTATTCTCCGTCCCAGCAGTTCCGCAAAGATGCAGCCGACAGACCAGATGTCAATAGCATTGCTGTAATGACGGCTGCCCATCAGGATTTCTGGAGCTCGGTAATACTGAGTAACAACTTCCTGAGTCATATGACGGGATTCATCTAATTCTTCCACTCTGGCCAATCCAAAATCACAAATCTAAATAGAAAAAGTGACCAAAGCACCATCAAATCAATACATCTAAAAACGCAAACATTAAAACAAACACCCGCCCCCGCCCCCCACACCCAACCTTGCTAGATTGCGGAACTCTTTAAAACACTTATTGGTATCGATATACAATCTGACCTTATCTAGAGGCGAGGGAAGGGAAACCTCCACACATCCATGTTTCTGTGTAAACTAATGTATCGTAGGAATAGTCTTGTAATGCTTAGCCTGTTTCAATCATAACTCAACAGAAAACACACTGGAGGCACATTCTTAAATTTAATGTACACACACCCAAGTTATCAGTTTTCAAGGCTGGCTTATGGAGGGAGGTGGACGTTAGCAGCAGTATGTACTGCAGACCTCCTGGGCAGACTGTGCGGACCATGTTTATGGATTATTCACAGCCGTGGTTCTCAACCTTCCTGATGCTGCGACCCTTTCGTACAATTCCTCATGTGGTGGTGGGCCCCCCAACCAGAAAATTATGTTCGCTGCTACTTCATAACTGCAATTCTGCTGTTATGAATCGGGCGACTCTTGTGAAAGGGTCATTCGACCCCCCAAAGGGGTCACGACCCATGGGCTGAGAACCGCTAACTTATAGTAAAAGGTCTTTGAAACTGTAGGTTGAGTCCCGCTGAATCTAGGTCTGAGGAAGTACACAACAGGGGGTCCACAAACACTTTATTCAAACTCACATGTACAGTTGACCCTTGAACACAGGACTAATCTGCCAGGGTCCATTAATACATGGATTAAAAAAAAAATCATTGTGTGAAACTAATGGTGCATTAATAGTTTGTCCCACCAGTGAATCGTGTACCACAGTTAAAAGTGACCTCTCATGTTCTCCCGAGTGTAATTCCACAAACCCTGAACATCTTGAGACCCATGTGAAGTGCCACCAATGGTGCTTGAAGTGCTGTCAGAAAAGCAGAGGAGTCAGGACATTACAAGTAAAGATGGAAGGGCTTGATGATGTCCCCCACTCTTAGATCAAGTCTGCTGCTGCAGATGCCCCCCATTCAAAGTAAGGGAACCCAGAGAAATGAACATTGTAAAAACCAAAACAAAACAAAAAAATGGAGAGAGAAGGAAATTTGGGGAGCTGATGATACGTACTAAAGTCTTGCCCTTTTTGAAAATTAATTTATCTTGTATTGAAAATGCAGCTCTTTGGTGCAGCATATAATACATATATAACATCCAAAATATATGCTAATTGACTATGTTATCAGTAAGTTAAAAAGTTATCTAGTCCCCAGTAGGCTTTTAAGTAGCTAAGTTTTGGGGGTGTCAAAAGCTATACATAGATGTGACGCCTCTAGTCCCTGCACGGCTCAAGGATCAGTGAAATCTATTTCAAATACCAATCCACACTACAATGCGTTCTAAGTCAAAATGTGGTACACTGAAGGATGCCAAATGCCACTAGTTTATGCTTCTGGTATTTAGCAGAGAGCCAGTTCTGTCGGTGACAGCATGCTAAAATCTGGAGAAGCAGCCGTCGGTAAGAAAGACGGTTTAATTTCTGTTCAGACCTAGAAATAAATATTTTCGTGCAATTTCTACTTAACTGGAAAGTATTCAAGGTCGCAAGGTGATTTGTTACAAACACCACCATTAACAACAACTGGTGCTTATCTCAAGGAATTAAGATGCCCCTGATACTGGGCCACCCAGACTAAACACAAACCCTGGGAGCACAGGGTGAGATAAGATAGAGAAGGCCATCTCACCAGATTTCAAATTTTAATCGCAAACGCTCCTGTGTTCTTTTTGTCACTCAATATTATAGTGCCCAATGATGACATACCACTTTTTATCTGCTTTTCAAGCTGAGGTCAGAACATAGAATTTTACTTGGTTAAACGAAGGAAAAATCTGGAAACCATTACTTTAAAGGAATGAAGATTGTTCTCTAATTTTTGGCAATCCTGTCTGTCTTAAAACTAATATGCTTGGTCACACCAAATGGATTTATGTGCACGCAATGAAAAATCAGTGGAAACAAACAATTTTAAAAGTTAAAAAATGAAGGAAGAATTTGCAGACCACGGAGAAAAAGCATTTTTTTAAAAGGCATCCAAAGGCTGGTATTTTAACAATATATAGGTCTATTATTTGGCCTTGAAATTTTAGGTTATCTTTTAAAGGCAAACCAAGTCATAGAAAATAACTTAAAAACCCCTTTCCTAACTTTGATGTCCCCCAAAATTACATACTTTACCTGTACAGGCAACACACCTGCAATATAAAATAACGCTGATGTAAAAAAGAAATAATTTTGTCATAATTATCATTGATGGATTTGTACATTCAGGAAGAAAGATTCACTACCCTCTCCTCTCATTGACATTTAAAGTTCAAAGGAGCAAGCTTTCGGGTTGTTCTGATTGGTATAGTGTTTGCATTTTCCTCGGGTATCCCATCCACGTCACCAGAGATTGCAATGATACCATAACAAACAATTTGGACATCAGGCATTTGATGGCATCGAGCACGACAGACCCCACAAAATCCTTTTGTTAAAATTTTCAATCAAAACCCATCATATCAGGAAACTGATATAAATTGTCTTCAGTGAACCAGTTCTAGAGCATGAACTCAATGACATATGGAAGGAGTAGTGAGTGACTTTAGTGGCTCTTGGGGACAATGCATTTCTCTGTGGAGACAAGGCTGAACTACAATGTCAGCTACTTTCATTAAAATATGAAAAACTATCTTTCAAGAGTTAAAACAGAAACATGGCTCTTCAGTAGTGTAACAACGGGAGAATTTTTACTCAGTAATACAATCTAACAACTTTTAAAGAGAATTGTCCCATGGTTCAAAGAGAGAATTTAAAACAAAAAATGAAATTCGTTTGTATAGCAAACTTCAATGCTTAGTTCAACTGTCTATAATTAATGTTATTACTATTAGGTGTGGTTGAGTGAGCTCCAACTACTCGTCCCAACCTAATGTTCAAACCGTGACCAGTCCTGCATCGATCTTGTCCTCTCAGTCTCACTGCTGTCCTTTGTCTGAGTCCACAGTGGTAGCCCCTGTGCAATCCATCTCACTGAAGGTAGTTCTATTTCTTACTGACCCTCTATTTTACCACGCACGATGCCCTTCTGCAGAGATCACTCTTTCTGGATTACATGTCCAACATGGGTGAACAGAAGTCCTGCCATCCTCACTTCTACAGTGCGTTCTGGTTGTGCTTTGTCCAAGACAGATTTGTTGTTCTTGCAGTCCATGGTGCATTTAACATTCTGCTCAAACACTATGGTTCAAAGACATCAGTTCTTCATCAGTCTTTCTAGACATTGTGCAGTTTCCCATGCATATGAAGCCATTGCTTTATAGTCGATGGCTTAAGTCAGACACACTTTAGTCCTCAGAGTGACATCTTTTAATAGAGTACATTTTAATACTTTAAAAGAAATCTTTAGCGGCAGATTTGCTCAATGCAATGAATCATCTGAGTTCCAGGCTGCTGCTTCCATGAGCAGTAAATGTGACCCCAAGTAAAATAAAATCCCCCACAACTTCCACATTTATTGTGGTGCCTCAAATTCTACCTATTGAAGGATAATCCATCATCCATGGTAGTTAAAAAACCCCCAACATTTTATTGGGTTTCATGTGGGAGTTAAAATCACAAAATAGTTCAATTTACACAATCAATTAATTCCACTGCAAACCTGCAATGTGTCAGCATTCTGTTTCCTTCCTCTGTTGCCCTTATTCATTTGTCTGGTTTCCCTGTCCCTTATTGTCTTCTCATCCTTCATTCTGAGCAAATATTGTCCCTTTGACCTTCTATACAAGGGGATTACCCCTGTTCTCCCCCACCCACCCCCAAAAGGAAAAAAAGCTCCCCTGGGCTGAGGTTTCATAGTATGAGTTAGTGCACCCAGTGGCATCACTTTGGAAGGTTCTCTCTGGTCACAGTGAATTTTTTTTGTAAAAGCAATTTCTCTCAAACCTTATTTTTGATTTAAGAGACCAGCGCTTTGGCTGTGAAATTTTGCTCCCTACTTGGGAAAGATGCCACAGAAACTGTTGATGTTGAACACAGCTTACAAGGACAGTGCTATGGAACAAACTCAAGTGTATGAGTGGTTTCCTCATTTCAAAAACAGTGAAATCTCAATTGATGGCAAACCTTGGTCTAAACTTACATCAACTTCCCAAATAAAACTGTTAACAAAATTTGTGCATTTGTGCTCAAAGACCTATGACAGCTCACTGAAAAGATGGGGAAGTGATCTGGACTATCTTGGAGCTTGGTTCAGTGAATGTTAATGGAAAATTTGTGAACAAGAAGGGTTGCTGCAAAATTTGTGCCTCGGTTTCTGACTGACCAGGAAAGAGAGTGTTGAGTGGAAACATGCTGAGCTTTGAAAGAACAGCTCTGAAATGACCCAGACCTTTTCCCCAAGGTCATTACTGGTGACAAGACATGGTGCTATTCTTACGACCCCGAAAGTAAACATCAATCAAGTCAGTGGAAGACGCCACTGTCACCTTGCCCCCCAAAAGCGCGTCAAAGGAAATCAGAGATTAAGACTGTGCTCATTTGTTTTTTTGATGCGAGGGGGATAGTGCATTTGGAGTTCATTCCACCAGGTCAGACTGTTAATCAAGCTTTCTATTTAGAGGTTCTGAAAAGATTACATAACAGTGTGTGACAAAAAAAGGTCCAATTTGTAGCAGATGGGGTACTGGTTTTGCCACAACAATGTACCTGCTCACACAGCCTTCTCAGTGTGACAGTTTTGGGCAAAAACCAGCATGCTTCTCTTGCCTCACCTTTTTCACCTGACCTAGCTGTGCAACTTCTTTGTGATTCCACAAACAAAGAGGGACATGAAAGGACAGCGATTTGATAATGTAGAAGAGGTGAAGAAAAAAACGAGGGAGGTGCTGTCAGCCATCCAAACAGATGGGTTTGAAAAATGTTCCAAGAATGGAATTGCAGATTAGACAAATGTATTAAGTGCAATGGAGAGCACTTTGCAGGTGATAAGAATAGCTTATGGGCAGCGGTGGCATGATGTTTTTATTTTTGGGGTGTGTGTGTGGGGGTACCTCTTTGTACCTAGTTAATTGTTTTAAGGAGGACATTCTTCATGGGTTTTATAATCCTATTTATTATTTGTCTATGAGGTCTCTAGTTTCAGGTTGGAAGGCTTTCTCAAGGTAAAAGTCTCCAGGGTTCCTACATATATTTTTTTTCCCATTCTAACTAGGACTTCCTCTTGTGGTGTTAGAGTGGTTGTAGGTAGTAGCTGGGTGCCACCTAGTCCTTCTGGTATCAGAGTTGAGGGTGGCTGCAGTCTGTGTGGCTCATCAGACCTTATGACTAATCACTTCCTTGACTATTTGGTTTTCTTAATTCTCCTTTGCTCCAGGAGGGAAGAAACCAATGGCCACTTCTTAGATGGCAACCCACAGACGCCAGATGCTACTCCCCAGAGTAGGATGCAGAGCATAATCTTTAAGAATGGTGTTTTGCCAATAGGCCTATATGCCCACGATTACGGTCTTTGAATTCCAAGCCTAGTGATCAGTTCTGACGTCTGTTTCTATAACTGTGCCACCTCCCCATGTGCTCTGAGTATGTGTGGAACATCTACACATGTCATGCTATCGAGTCAGTTCGGACTTAACAAGCCTACAGGACAGAGTAGAACTGCCCCTGTGGGTTTCTAAGACTACAAATCTTTGCTGAATGAGAAAGCCTCATTTCCCACCCCCTCCCCCAGCTGGTAGTTTCAAACTGCTGACCTTATGGTTAACAGCCTAATGTGTGACCCAGTGTTATCACCAATGTGCCTGTAAATTTTAATGGGAGCAGAAAGCCTCATCTTTCTCCCTCAGAGCAGCTGGTGGTTTTGAGCTCATGTGATTAGCAGCCCAATTTTTAATCATTATTCTACCAGGGATCATTTGTAGGTAGGAATATCTACCACCATACCTATATGGTGTACTATATAGTACCTTTCTCATGTATTTGGCGTGAACACTTACTTACAAATCTACTCCGTTTATTACAGCTATTATTGCTGTGGGAAGAATATGGTACAGCATTGACCACAGTTGCTTATTTTTATATACCTTTTAGTGACTTCCTTTGCCTTGGTCAAGACAGGTTGAATTCACCCAAAATTGTGTACTGTCTTTCCGTTCATACAGTATGTCTTTAGTGATGATTCCCTATTGGTAACCATAAAATGATGTTGTCTGTGTGCAAGTGTATTCTTTACGTTTTATAGTTGAGGTCTTATACAATCTGTCCTTTGGTGATGTATCTCACTTAGCATTGTGTCCTTCAGATGCATCCTTGTTGTCAGATGTTTCATGGATTTAACATTATTTTTTATTGTTGTCTAGTGCTGCATTAAGACGCAGGTCACAAATTGGGTTGCTACCCCAAGGTCAGCAGTCTGAAACCACCAGCTGCATCTCGGGAGAACGATGGGGGTTTCTACTCCTGTAAAGAGTTACCGTCTCAGAAACTCGCAGGTGCAGTTGTACCCTGTCCTGTATGGTTGCTAAGGATCAGATCTGACTCGATGGCAGGGAGTCAGTTTGGTTTGAGTGCTGCATTGTATGTATAGATCACAAACTGCTCATCCATCACCTGCCGATGGACATTTAGGTTGTTTTCATTTTATGCTACTGAGAACAGTGCTGCAATGAGCATGCGGGTGGAGACAGGTCTATTTGCCTCACTGCCCGTATTTCTCTAGAGCATATATCTAGGAGTGGGATTAATGGGGTGTATGAGCCTTTCTAGTTTTAGCTTTTTTAAGGAAGTGCAACCTCACTTTCCGTAGTGGCTGTACCATTTTTGCAGCTCTATTGGCAAGGTATTAGAGTTCCAGTCTCACCACACCCTGCCAGCATTTGTCCTCTTGATTTTGAATCAGAGCCATTATTACTGGGTGGGACTGTATCCCCTTGGAGTTGTAATTTGCATCTCCCTAGTGGGTAAGAAAGGAGTTGTGGTTGTGTTGTGTATTATGTTTAGGGTGCTGAACACAGGTCTGCAGTTCGAACTCATGAGGCTTTCTGGTCCCGAAAATATTTATAGCCTTGGTAATCCAAAGGGGCAGTTTTACTGTCTTGTCAGGGCCGCTATGAGTCAGAATCGACTTGATAGTAGCGAGCTTGTTTTTTGGTTTTGCTTTTAGTGGCTAATGACAGTGCTGTCAGGTGGTGTTGCCCTGGTGGAGCTGTCAGGTCAGTGTTGGCTGGCTAACAGCAAGGTGGTGGCTCCTCAGGAGAAAGATGAGGCTGTCAGCTTGCGTAAAGGTTTATAGTTCAGGAAACCTTATAAAGGGCTACTATGAGTTAGAACTGACTCAACACCTGTGGGTTTGCAAAGGCTAATGATCATGAGCATCTTCTCACTGTTAGCCTGAATATCCTCTCCATGCCTTTCACCTATTTTTAAATTGGATTGTTTACTTTTCCATTACGTATTCTATAAAATTTAGAGATTAGACCCCCAAATTCCCCATCCTCCAATTTTTAGGGATTTTTTTAAAAATCTTTTTGATGAGCTTAAATGTTGAATTTTTGGAGATTCCAGTTATAGTTTATCTTCCACTGTTTGTATGTTCTCAGCTACGTTTGGTAGTCAGTTCATGCCTTCTATTAGGGCCCCTTGCATTGTCCCTATATTTTCTTGCACGGTCTTTATACTTTTAGGTCTCACACTGAAGTCTTTGATGCAGTCACAGCAGGCTGGCACGGAACACAGTCCTTTCCTTCCAAGTCCAGCAGCTGAGATGCTAACAACACTTACTGGAGCTCAGGAAATACCTGGACATTGACATTTGTTTTTACAGGTGACTCAGCTCTAGGAAGATACACATCTCAACGCCTTAGATCGAGGGCCATATGTTGAAACTCTATTTTAGGGGTTTTGCCCAGACTTCCATCAGGAAGAGGTGGGTAACTCTATGTGGATTTTGCTATTTGTTAGCCCTTCTAGGAAAAGATAGTGGAAGGGTGGTAGTAAAGTTGAAATTGGTAACTTGAGAGTTTGGGGCTACCAACTATAATTAATCAATTAAAATTCTGAGTAATAATTGAGGAATGGTTACTCTATTTTGAGAAAAAAATGTTTAATATCTGCATACATCATTTTCTGACTTAGCATCAATATGAAGACAATCTTTGAAAACTTATCCCCCCCCCCCCCATACAAATAATGGTTTGCTGGGCTTACGATATATTTCTTTTGAAACACACACACACCACAAACCCCTCTTCCATTACTAAAGGAGAGTCACCTTTTCTTCTTTTTAGCTGCACTGTAATTCCAATTTCCAAACCATGTGCAAACTATCAGGAAGAAACCATGAGCCAAGACTACAAAAGTTACTAGAGGCAGCGAGGCACTCTCTCTTGAGTCAGAATCAACTCGATGGCAGTCAATTTGGTTTTGGTTTGTGTACTCTTGGGCAAAGTAGTTGAAATAAATTTTCTTTCACAAAAACGTGTTCTTAAAATCTGCCTTGGCATTCTGAATTTCTTCCTCCTTTTCCTTCAGACCCTGAAATATATGGAAAAGCTACCTTTAGAACACAGTTGCTGTTCACAAGGAGATTCCCTGGTTTAATGTCTCGATGTAAAATGCCAGCTGAATGGAGATATTTCAAACCTGAAATGACAGACAGATTTACTTGCAGACACTTCGTTTCTTTTACTTGAGCAATGACTCAGGAAAATCTTAGGAGGAAACAGAGAGCAGGAGATTGAACATTGTTCCTTAAATAACTACCCAATGAACATTATAAACATTAGTAAAGACTTGACTTAGTTCCATCTCAAAAAAGCCAATTTTGCTACAGTAAATTAAAATGTCAAAAAACAAATTTTGCTACAGTAAATTAAAAAGTATAGGTCATATCTATACTTCAAGAGAGTATTTAGTTTTAATACAGAGGAGGCACTGGAGTTAAGACAGACTCAACCTACATCCTTGTGTGGCTACAAGTAGCTCCCTACTGATTCCACCTCTGACTCTAAACCTGCTCCAACAAAGAAGTGCCATCAACCAAAAGGGGTTTTCCCCGGGAGTCTTCTCACTGCCCAGATCTGGCAGTTGAATTTTCCAGCACCAAGAATCTAGAGGATAATTAATCACTTTTTAAGTATATTTGACATCTTAAAAGACTGGGGGCTACAGTACTGCTAGATAAAGGTCACAGCCTCAAGGTGGAATCTTCTTTGAATAGAAAGCAGCAAATGACATTTAATAAAAAATTTTTAAAAAATCAAGTGTAAAGGAGTTAATATATTCCCCTCTAGCACCACCTCGGGATAGCAAGGATATCAGAGGGGAGCATTCTAGTTTTGCTTACATGTTTTAATCCTCTGGGAGATATTTTTCCATCTTTATAAAGAATGTCTTAATTCTATGAATTTCTTTGGTGAGGGTGATTTTATTTGATGGGGGAGGAGGAATGATTTTATTCGGTGTGAAAGCTCTTTCAGTTTTAATAAATTTCCAAGTGTAACAGTAAAATTATGAAGGACATAAATGGTGGCCAGAAAGTGGCACCATCAACATAATTCCAAATCACTTCTCAATTAAGTCAACGCACTTTAATGAGAGCTTATTTAGATGGCTCTACTGGTCTCCTGCATCTGCTTTGGTTTTAAAGGTCATTTTGTTTCTCTAGACTTGGGTATACCAGGCAATAGTGACACGGCTCACTGACTGCTGGCTTATAGGATAGCTGTCAGCCATAGGAGATAGTGCCACTCTTCAGTCTAGTCACTTGATGCCACAAGCGCCTACTCTGTCAAGCACGAAAGACTGCTTAATGGAACCTTTGTGACAAACCATTCCTACTATTCACTCCCCCACCATCCTAAATAATTCATCTACTCTCCTGTCTAATGAATTAGCCAGGCAAGTCTCTGCTATCACCAAATAAATAAGGACCATATGGCTGCCCTTAAAAGCCGCCTTTAACATCAAATACAGCGCTTACTAAAGATACCTTGACCGACAGATAAAAGGCTCAGGCATGGAAGAAAATCTTAGAAGGTCAGATTAGTTAAAATTTAAACGAAAAGCAAAACATTTCATTTATATAGTCGCATTGCTCTTTTTCTTCATAAAGAAAACCTTACCTCGTAAAATCTGATAAAGAAAAACTTTGACATGATCGGAGCTGAGTGGTTGAGGAGAGACGATAATTTTATGTAGGTCACTCTGCATCAATTCTGTGACAACATATCTTAAGGTCTTAAGTTAAGGAGCCAGTTCACTTGAAGTCATTGCTCAGGCTAAAATAAATAACTTCTAGTCTCTGGAAAGGGGTATCCATATAGCATGGTGGAGGGGAGAATGCCAGCCCTCACAGGATAGAGCTTTGCCAAAGCAAAATACTTTACCTGCTCAAAAATAGGTGGTAGAAGTAAACAACTGGCCCGAAATTAGCATTATAAATGAAAAAGACAAAGGCAAACGGCTTTGGACACAGCAAGCACCAAGAACAAACAAACAACACAATGTCCAGGTGACCTGGCCAGGCTGGCGGTTTCACATATCTCTGACATGAATGACAAGAGGGCTTATGTTCCCTCATAAGTAACGAGGCGCACAGAAATGTGGAAAATGGTCATTTTTGCCATAATCTCAGAAATCTGATGCTTTTGTTAACTTTTCATACATTCAGGATGCTGTCATTAGGAAAAGTCGAGCTTTCTATGCTCCTGACTCCAGTGCTGTGTCCTCAGGGCTTGGCTCAGTCAACATACGGCAGATGGTCAAAGGCTTCAAGGAGCCATGGAGGTGAATTCAGAACTTTTGTGAAGTCTTACAGACATTAAAGAATCATCTTTTTCCACATCAATAAAATACATCCCTGTTTTGCCCAGCCTACAGTTAAGAATTCACTTACGTTTCAGAGAATTTTATGATTTAAGTATAGCTTTCTGTAAAACAATGAGATGAGGCTCTTGACTTTAGGATGTTCCCACCAGGCTTACAATTCTTTTGCTATCTTGTTAGCATTACATTCTCTCTGAACAAATGACCAAACGAACATCACTGAGTGCCCAGTGCAAATGAAAGCTCCACCTCCCCCTGCCCCGCCCCCCAAAGGCCTAAAAACCTAAACAAGACCGCAGAGCTTATTAGCCAGGCTGCAGTGTGGTGTGATCTTGCGTGGTTCTTCAGATTCTACCTTCTTTCGTCCGGAGAGATTATAGCAGCTCTACAAAGACCAACCCTGGAGGACCCCTCTTCATCTAGCCCTCTGTTACCTAGGGCTGAAAGAAGGCAAAGCCATCTCATAGGGCAGCTGTAGCACTTACGTGAAAGAACTGAACAGCAACAAAGCGAACAAAGCGACTACCCGGATTCTAAATTAACATGTGGTCCTATCTACTTTATCCACGAGGACTTCCCAAAGTTCATTGATCCTTTTCTTGTCTTTCCATTAACTTTTTAAAGCACTCTCCTTATCTATCCCATTATTCATCCCTCCTTCCATCCGTGAATTTAACTTTTTTTTTTGGGGGGGGGGGGTGTTGTTTGTCAGTCTTCTACAAAGACTTCCCATGACACATAAAGCCAAACTCCTGACAGGCCATAAACGATCTGGCGCAAAATGCTATTTTCATCGCTTCTCCTGCCACTTTTCATCTTGAACAAGCTAAGCATATTCTAACCTTAGGCATCCATTGCTCACTGCTCCCTCTGCCAAGAACGCACTTGGAAAGATCTCTCCAGGCATGCCTTCTTTTGTCATGCTTTGCTGTATTGTACTTCAGATACATTTAAAAGTAAATTTTAGCTTTGGGACCTCCCTGCCTTAGCAAATTATTCAGCGTCACTTTTCAATGGGATGTGGTCACCTGGTGTAAGCATCACTTGTGTAAGTACCAGCAGGGAAAGTTCATGTGACTCACTTTACAGCGGTGGGATGGAAGTGAACCTGCATTATCTCTGAGATCTTCCTGTACTTAACTCTCACTTCCTGGGTATTTCTGCTCACCTTCCAATGTTGCCTACCGTGACCATTCTACCAGTTTCCTGCACCCCCATCCAGTCACCAACTGCCAACCTCTAACACACATCTTTTTCTATTTCTCTGAAGTATTTATTTTCTAATACTAACTATGTTTGCTTGTTCCTCCAAAATTCCTCCTCAAAGTAAATGGTTTCTATTTTGTTTGCTAAGTGCATCCCAGATTCTCAGAATAATGACTGCAAAGTAATCCCCTACGGACCGCTGGTAGTACAAAGAACTCAGTACTTGGCTGCTGTGAGAGTGGCAGGGTAAACCCACCCAGCAACTAAAGAAAGACCGGTGAGATGTTCTGAAAACAGCCAAGGAAACCCAAGGGTGGGGTGTGTGGGCGCATGTGCGCATACTCTGTCAATACCTAGCTTGACCATTAATCATGTTCTAGTTTTGTTCCCTGCATCCCTTTTCATTGAAGGAGAGGAAAGGAAGGGTTGGAGTAATTAAAATGTCTAATAAGGGGCAGAGCAAAAAAGATTGGCAAAAAAGTTAATTGCTAAAATACATGATAAAGCTCTAAAAAGTTTATGGGGGAAAAAAAGGAATTAAAATATAATGGAATATTTCCACAAACTTTTAAAAGGTCCCTCATATATAATACATATCAAAGTATAAAAATACTTTTATATATAATTTTTGAAAATTTCTATAAACATTAAAAAAACTTTATGGTAGGAAACTGAGGGAGCTATAAAGAAGCAAAAGCATATAAAATTTACCCAGAATCCCTTTTGTGAAACTATAACATTTTGACAAAAATGTTATGTACATCTGTATATTTAACAACAAAATTGAGATTATGATATACCTACAGCTTTGCTACCTGTTTCTTAATAATTATTTATTAAAAAGAAATATTTTACTTGTCTTTTAATATTTTAATAAAGCAGGGTTTTAATGATTCATAGTGTTCTATGATTATAAAGATATTTAAGGCTTTAGTATTATTTTTCATTTAATGAAAGTATCATTATTGAAAGTCTAAGTTCTTAAAAAAAATTCTAAATAATCCTGATATAAGCAACATAAGCACATACAAGTAAAAAAGTATTATTATAAAATCAAAGCTTTTATTAAACAAAGTAATGTTTAAAATGTGAAGCTAGTGTTTCTCAGTTGATCTTCCATCTAGGTCTACACACATCTGAAGGTGGTGTTTCAGTCCTTCTAAAACAGCAGTTCTCAACCTGTGGGTTGCAACCCTTTTGGGGGTAAAATGACCCTTTCCCAGGGGTCGCCTGATTCATAATAGCAAAATTACAGCGATGAAGTAGCAATGAAAATAATATTATGGTTGGGGCAGGGGCTGTCACCACAACATGAGGGACTGTATTAAAGGGTCACGGCATGAGGAAGGTTGAGAACCACTGCGCTACTAGCCCTTCCTTGAAGAATGCTGTGCACTTTGATTTTCATCAAGCCAAAATGGCAGTTTTAGTAACATCAGGTCTCAGAGTGTGTTCCTTTCATTTCAGGGAACAAAAAGAATTCTGAAAGGACAAAATCAAGGCCATAGGGTAGACGGTAGATGGAGCAAGATTCTTAATGAAGTTCACGTAGGAGAGAACTTGCGCCTCTTGAAGAATAAGCATTGTGGTGGAGGGAAAAGATCCCTCAGGGCAACTCTCCTAGCCTGTCTCATTAATGATAACGCCTTAGAACTCGCCTGTGTCCTCTGACAAAAATTATCAAGGGTAACCCTTTAAATCAATCCCTCCCCAACCCATCCCCCAGCCTCCTCCCCTGCAAAAAAAAACCCAAAAGTGTTGCTAAAACATTTTGGGCTGACTTCTAAATCTCCTCAGAAGCTACTACTCTGTTTCTCCGAAAGTAAGGCATCCCCCGAAAATAAGACCTACTTACAGTTTTGCCTCTTGCTGAAATATAAAGGCATCCCCTAGAAAATAAGGCCCCCGAAGCTACCGTAACTCTGGACCATACTGGCGGGTGTCGCTGCACAGCTCACTGTTAGCCGCGGTGCAACCAGAGCAGACAGGAAGTGCGAGGTCTCTTTTAATAAAACAATAAATGTGTACCATATTCTTCTTCATGGAACAATAAGACATCCCTTGAAAATAAGACCTGCCGCATCTTTGGGAGCAAAAATTAATATAAGACACTGTCTTATTTTTGGGGAAATGGTATTTTGCTTGGACCCTTTTTCTAGAAGTCATACTAAGGAGATTAAGTGTATTACTGAAAGGACTCGTCTGTAGCCATTCACCAATGTAAGAGACATGTTTAAACATGTTTCATTTGGAAGAATCATGTATGTATGAACCAAGTTAATACTTTTTTACTTACCTTCATATCTTTTTAAAAAAAATCATTTGGTGGGGGGCTCTTACAATTCTTATCACAATCCATACATACATCCATTGTGTCAAGCACATGTGTACATGTGTTGCCATCACCATTCTCAAACATTTTCTTTCTACTTGAGCCCTTGTTATCAGTTCATTATTCCCCCTCCCTCTTTCATGCTCCCTTCCAGAACCCTTAATAATTTACAAATTATTATTTTTTCATGCCTTACACTGACCGATGTCTTCCTTCACCCACTTTTCTGTTGCGTGTCCCCCTGGGAGGGGGTTATATGTAGATGGCTATGATCGGTTCCCCCTCTTTTCCCCACCTTTCCCTTATCCTCCTGGTATTGCGACTCTCGTTATTGGTCCTGAGGGGTTTATTTGTCCTGGATTCCGTTTTCAGCTCTTATCTGTACCAGTGTACCTCCTCTGGTCTAGCTGGATTTGTAAGGTAGAACTGGGATCATGATAGTGAGGGGGGGGGGTAGGAAGCATTAAAGAACTAGAGGAAGGGGAACGGACAAAAGAAAAGTGGGTGAAGGAAGTCGGACACTGTAAGACATGACAAAATAATAATTTATAAATTATCAAGGGTTTGTGAGGGAGAGATGGTGGGGAGGGAGGAGAAAAAATGAGGAGCTGATACCAAGGGCTCAAGTAGAAAGAAAATGTTTTGAGAATGAGGATGGCAACAAATATACAAATGTGCTTGACACAATGGACGTAAATATGGATTGTGATGAGTTGCATGAGCCCCCAATAAAATGATTAACAACAAAAGAACTAGAAGAAAGTTGTATGTTTCAATGGTGCTATACTGCACCCTGACTGGCTCGTCTCCTTCCCAAGACCCTTTCTGTAAGGGGATGTCCAGTTGCCTACAGATGGGCTTTGGGC